GACAGAGTACAGTTTAACTCAGGGAAGTCTGCTGCCTTGCTGATGAAAGCAATGCTCTAAATCAAAATAAACTTACTTGAGACAAGTTTTACTAATTGTTAAAAATAAAGGTCTAATGATCTTGCAACAGAGCTGTTGCAAGCAAACCCACATACACTTTTTCAAGCTGTAATTTATTTGTAGGGAACAGAAACCTACAAAGAACATGTTATAACTTCACTGAACTGGACTGCTTGAGCTCCTGCTAAGACAGCTCTAAGCCAGCACTTTCACCAACTAAGTGTTCAGTACCACCATTTTATCTGTCTACTACAGACAAACGTTAGGTGTAACACCAGAGACGTAGACCTCGTACCAATCTTGTTCCAGTGTGAGGGTTTCATTTCGGTTTGCTTCCAGCAGAAATAACTGTGCCACTGCACTAAGAGCAATAACCTAGTGCCCTTGTAAGAACAGCTTGGTAACAGCTGAACTCCATTCACAGCAGGCTCACAAAGAGGACACCAAAAGTCAGGTACAGAACCAATGGGTACATTACTGCTGCAATCAGCAAGACTTTTCTCCCAAATATTTGTTTTCACACACCAGCTTGTCAAGGCCAGTTGTCTGATGTGCTGCAGTCACCACATACAACTAATTAGTAGCTTTATTCTTTTGTACAGACTCGTACAAACGAAACAAGTTATAGGATGATCTACAAAAGGGTAAGGCTATCAAGAAGAGATAAGCAAAAACTGTAGCTGAATAGAAATGTCCTACTGTTCCAATTACAAATTAAAATAAACTGCATAGTTCTTTCCTAGGAAATTTAAACTCTTAATAAGATTATCTGTGATGAAAAAAACAACCACTGACAACAAAACCCTCTGGCTTTCAGTTCAACCTAAAGGAATCCTACCTGCCCCCCATGCCACCCCCCCACCTCCATCCATAAGTCTGTTACAGTTTATGGATTCTCAGATTTTCCTCCTTTTAATCTCTGTTCACAGTTTTCATCATAGAACCTGGATATCGTTATGTATTTAGGACTAAGGGCCTTCATGTGTTTTTCTCCATAATCTCTTTGCTTTCCCTTACTCAGTGTTTGTCAAACAAAACTCATTAAACAAAGTACTCCTTTATTCTCGGGTAGATGGAACTAAGACAGCGAACAAACAGCAGTAATGCACTTGCTGTAGAGAAGAGAAAAAAAAAAACAACATTCCAAGAAATTTTGTTAATACATGCCAATGCAGTTTTATATGAGAAGGGATAGCTGCATTCGACAGAAACTGCATTTTTCCAGGACATCTACAGCGAAGAAAACATCTCTGACCTCACACCGAGCAGTAAGTGCTACACAAACAAGAATGAAACGTAACTGTACTTTTTTATGATGTTTGCAGTGGTTATGCTTGACTTTATCATGCTATTAATTTGGTTCATCACATTAAATGTAATAAATGCAAAGCACTGCAAGTGGTAGTCATGCATGTTTTTATGTTTGTTTATGCTGAAATCTTAAAAGAGGAAGCAAAGGAAGCTAACTCAAGATCCTAACTAGCTGTTGCAGAATATGCTTTTGAGTGAGTTTTGAGCTATACAGACATGCCTGTTCCTTCTGTGAAAGGAAGTTAAGCCATCTTCCCCATGGGCCTGACACAGCAGATGGTAGGTATTTGCCAAAGTAACTCTTGACAGTCTGCACAAACTGAAGCGATTTGGAAATAAGCAGGTCTTTGAAATAAGATTTTTGAAATGCATATGCTGTTGATATTCTCACCTCAAGCAGTTTTTTCTTATATATATATATATACACACGCTGGACAGAGTTAGCACAACCTTGAACAATTCCCTGAACTAAGAACAAGTAAACCTCTAATTTATATATTGTAATGTAATGGCACTTGACTGATAGAATAGATATTGATAAAAACTTTGTTGTCTTATGCATAATGAACTGAATTAAGAGTACAATGCTACAGATATTTTGCTTTCCACTTATTTCAGCTTCATCCCCTATTATTATGGCTTTTCAAAAAAAGTTCTAATACTAAAAACTCATTTCAGGAAGGTTGTTTGTTTACATTTAAAATGCCTTAGAAAGCATAATCAGATTGTGGACTGCCCCTTCTCTGTCACTTGGGTAAAAGACAAAACCTGCCAGTTATACAGCCCCACTCAAAAAAGGCAGGACACCATTTCTAATTGTTGTCACAGAGGTTTCAAACTGTTGTTCTTTATCTGATACCCCAACAGCCCAGCTGATACAACACCAACAGTTCTGTCTTCCCAGGTGCACAGTTACCATACTGCCTAAAACATTTTCATCTGGCAAATGAAATTTGACTCTCTATGCAAGAAGAGCATGGAGGTTTTTAAAATTAGTTTTTAAAACTGCTACTTCATGGCAAATTTGCTAATTATTTCACATAGGTAAGTGCCCGATTCAAAGAAAGGCACTTACAAAACTGAGCTGTTCCACATCTGTGTTAAAAACAGTATTCTATTTCAAAGCAAACAGCAGATCATATTCACTCTCGTGACTTGCTCACTACTGCTGTTCCAAGTCACGGACTGGAATCGCTGACTGAAAATAACACATTGATTTAGAAGAGACACATGTGACTTAATTGTGGAAATGCTGCAAAAAATAAATGCAATCTTATTCTCCTTTAGAATCATGAAATTTTCTAAGTTATTAAACAAAAGAAAAAAATGATATTTAAATAACTGAAATAAGGGTCTATCTTTAACCACACTTTTATTTAAAAGATAATATTTTCAATGTTCACTATTATAAAACAGCCAACAGGAGCTGACTACAGCTATCAACACACTTACAGAAGGTACTTGAAGAGAATAATGCGTTTTCTACCACGGCATTTTCCCACGACTTCTAATCTGCAAATTTCTAATGTTCCATTTACAATGTATACCTGTCTAGTAATCCTGCAGTCTCTATTCTATTACCAAAAAATACATCCACTAAAGTAAGTTTTGCTTTCTGGCTTGCAATCATGTATGAAAGGGCAGCAGCTCCTCCTTACAAGCAGTTCTAAAACACTGTCCTTTTTGCCATCATTTATGTTCAAGTACCTTGTGTACAGCTGCTCAGCTGCTCTCCTTGGCTGCAGGGTCATGTTCAGATATTCAATCAGATAGCTCTGATTTTGAATGCCAGCTTTTTTTGTTTGCTGATTTCTTCTTCTGTCCCCCTCGCACTTCTCCTCCCTCCCCTCTTCCTCCCTGTTACACAGAGGGCTACAGACAGCCTCGGCTACAAAGCAACCAACCAGTTACACTCCTTTACAAGAGAGAAACAGACAAAAGGTGACAGCAGATAACCATCATGGCATCAGCGAGCCTGCAGTTCTTTGCTTTTATTCTGGCTTTGTTTGGTGTTTTGGGAGCTATCACAGCCACCTTGCTACCAAACTGGAAGGTAAATGCAGACGTTGGTTCAAACATCATAACAGCTATAACACAGATGCAAGGACTTTGGATGGACTGCACATGGTACAGCACGGGGATGTTCAGCTGCACCCTGAAGTACTCCGTCCTCTCTCTCCCTGTCTACATCCAGGCTGCACGGACCACCATGGTGCTCTCCTGTATCCTGTCAGCCCTCGGGGTCTGCATCGCTACGGTGGGCATGAAGTGCACCAAGCTGGGAGGGGACGCCGACAGCAAGAGCCACGCCTGCTTTGCTGGAGGAGCCTGCTTCCTTCTCGCAGGCATCTTTGGACTAGTACCAACATCCTGGTACACCAGAGAGATTATTTCCAATTTTCTGGACCAGAACATTCCGGAAAGCAGCAAGCAGGAGCCGGGAGGAGCAGTTTACACAGGATTCATTTCAGCAGCGTTCCTGCTCATCGCAGGTGTCATCTTCTGCACTTCCTGTGTCAAAAAGCAGCAAGGAGCATGGATGTACCCTCCAAAACACTACCCAGCCAACGAGCAGGAGAGCAACGCAGGTTACAGCCTGAAGGACTACGTGTAAATACAGTAACTCCTATCAGCTGAGGCCTTTTTTTTTTGTGCTAAGTGTAGTTTGATTAGTTCAAAGAATGTGTAACTGAACACTTCTTAAATCTGGGTTGCAGTTATGTTTAAATAAGGTATTTCATTTATAGTGGCATCCACAAAAACAATAAGCAGGAAACAATGCTCAGGTCTGCTACAAGAGTACCTTTTTTTTGTCGATTTTCCAACCATTCTTTTTGACTTTCTAAGTAACATTTACTGAAGAAAAAGGAACTATTTTAAAACATAACTGACAGTACAATTAATGTACCAGTGGCTACTTTCTAGTTAGCAAATCAGGCCACCAGTAACATATGATGTTTTATAGAGTATCTTACATTTCTATCTTTAATTATGATGTCAGGGAAAAAAAACCCTCTTTGTCAAAGAAGCCAAACTGAGTGATTTTTAAACAACAGAAACATCTGCCTTTCATTTTGCTTTCTAAATTGCCTGGGTAACTAGATTTCTGAAAAAACAAACAAACAAACAAACAAAAAAATCAACCAACACCCCAATTCCACCCCCTCAAACTAAACCAAAACAAAAAAAGCCCAACACAACAAAAACCCAGAGCCCCAAACCTTAGCTGCATTTTATCTTCTGGATATCAGGCTGAACAAAATCAGCAGTACCATTCAAACCTTGCCAAGAGTGGCTCTTTCACTCCCAAATGCCACCTGCTGTGAGTTTCATTTATTACTGTTAAATGTCTACTGGGCTTTCACCAATTGCTACTAATCTACCACCCAAATCATTGCATGTCAGATTTGAGGATCAATACGACAACAGAAATGTAACCATGTAACTACGAAAACACCTGCAAACTGTAACACACAGGATACAAATTGAATTATCTATATTCAAGCAAAACCTGGAAGCTTCTGGCTTACACTTGCTGATAGTAGCTTTTAACAGCTCAAATAACACAGCTACCATGTATTGTCTTCTATGTTTCTGGCTTTCTAAAAATAACTTTGTAAGTTCTTTTAATTATTACTGTAGGGTCTGTTTCAGGCTCACTCCCATGTATTCCATTACTGTAAAATGCAATACAAAATGGTGATAAGAAAATAAATTTAAATAAAGAAGCTGTCTCTTTACCTCCCTTCTTTTGATTACTAATATTAGATCCTTTAGCCTTTTCTTTCAACACACAGATTTTGGGTTTTTATTGGTCATTGGCAGAGTATGGTCTATATAAATGCTTCTATATATATGCTAAGCAAGAATCAAATTGCTGTTAATTTGTGGGCATAGGTAAGGGAGTGAAAAGGGCTATTGTACAGGCCTTTAGATTAGGAGTATGATAAATGCTGGACAAATCTTTCAACAAAACCAACTGCTATTTTTGGCTTATGTACAACTTCCACTTGCTATATTATTAGCCTGAAATTCAGTAAAACAGTATGAAGGGGCCTTAACATTTTATGTACAGTTTGTTGGAAAGAGTAAGATCTTCTGCTACAGCATCTGAGAAAGTGAAATGTTTTATGCACCTAATATATGAAGAGTTTTTATTCTCATATACATAGCACAGAATTACATCTTGCTTGTATTACTACTGTTCTGTAGCCATGTTGATTTTCCTATGTATTCATTCCTAATGCTATTATCAACAGCCTTTTGGTATTGCAGAGGCTTAACTATGACCAAAAAGCCGATTTTTCTTTGCTTAGACAATACTGTGCAGCACCATTCTATGAACCAAGAGTCTTTTATGTCTCAATATTCATAGTACTTCATTCATGGAGCAAGAGGTATCAATTCCTTCTCAAAAACATGCATCCCCATCTTTATTAAGAGATTTGACATGACACTACGTATGTGCATTAAACCTAACATTTGTAAAATAAAAACTAAAGGTGTTTTTCCAGGAAGGCGTAAGGAAAAGGTAATAATTGCATACTGTAAAAGCAAAATGAAGCATTCCTCAGCTACATAAGTAGCAAAACCTTCTTCCTAAGACTTTACATTAGAAGTATCTGAACTTCTTTGTATACCTATGAAACAAAAATCAAGCAGTGAGACACTTCATTCACAAAATGCTTGCAAGAACTTCCTAAGAAAAAGATTGTATCAGAAACATTAATGTCTAAAACCACATCAGCCTACAACTAAAAGAACAGGGACAAACCAGAAGTCCAATCTCCAAGAGGATTCTGAAGGAAACAAAGTGAAAACAGGTGCCAGGTCTGTCTGAAAAATCTGTACTTTCTGCTGTTGCAATATAAGTAATACTTGAAAGAAAGAGATTAAATAAAAATAGGCTTGCCTTAGGTGGTACTGCCTTTTTCATTCAACAGAGCACTGGCTGCAGGACCTGCTTGTAGTAAGACATTTGTCACAACTGTACGAGACAGTAAACTATGGCCTTTTCAGTACAGGAAAATGAGAATATCAGTTATAGCTTCCCAATTCTGAGACACAGTCTACACAAAACTTTTGACTACACTAGCTCTACTGTGACCTCAAATCGCATCAGCTGTTGGGAAACCACCACCACAAAATTGAAATTTTGGACTTACTGAACACTACTTGACCTATTAACAGTGAGATGACATCCCGAAATTATTTTTCATTCAGGTAGGAGACAGGAGAAAATAATAATAAAAAAAAATAAAAAAATGCAAAGCAAAATTACGACATCTTAAGCATGGTCATTTTTCCTCACAACAGACTGCTGTCACAACTAATAATTCAACATGTTTAAACAGCAGAATTTTGAATAATCAGACTATGCCCAGACAGAGGCCTTAAAATTCATTGGGATAAAGAAGAGAGAATGACCTTCCAAAAGGTCTCAAAAGATAAGCCTGATGAGAAAAAACACAGAGACGGACTATAACAAGGGGGAAGGGAGAGGTATTGATGAGCTGAGTTGATCAGTTTAAGAGGAACTTTCAGAACCTGCAAAATATTTCTGAAATAGAATAGTAGACTTCCACATGCACTCAGGGGAAACAGATGGAACTTAGACACATTCTTGACCAAAATGAAGTTTAAATTATTAATTATTGATTCCTGTAATCATAATGTCTTAATAAAACCCAGTGGCAGTAGACAACAGCAAAGAGACTGTTCTTCTTTACTCACTCAAGAGCAGATAGGAGGGAGAAAAGATTATTACTTTTTTAAACAGGCAGTAGGATGTTGGTGACAAAGTGCTATAGTGAATGGGAGGGAGCTAAATATGCTGAAATTGAGTGAAACAAACATTATAGACTGGGTAAAATTAGAGATCTCTGACAGATACGACAAATTAAAAGCTTTGATTTATCAGGGTCTTTCGAAAGACCCATCAAATTTTCTAGTCCCAATTCCCTAAGTGTTTACAAATGCAGACTGTGAAGCAGCAGGCTTTCCAAAGGAGCTACAATCCCAGCAGACTATCCCCTCATTAAATCCTAATCTCAGCTTCCACCCAAAGCAGTATGCTGATCTTGCAGATAGGCTTCAAGGTCAAAGCCAAGTTCTGAGGAACCAAAAAGAAAAGCACCTCCTAGAAGCAAGTATGCTTTGTGTACAGGAATATCACACCACTCCACTTCGTAGTATGGAGATGCTGAAATACAGCAGCCAACTCTGTTCCTTACTCAAAATCACACATATATTGCTTGACTGACAAATGAAGAAAGAAAACCCAAAGAAATACAACAAAACTTACCTCCGGCTTTGGAACAAAGGCTTGACCTGGAATTACAAAACAGTTTTCAACAGTGCAGAGATGCTGAGCCATGATGGACAGTCTGCTACGTTGCTTACCTCCTGGATTAGCTGTAAGCCTCTATTGAAGAATCAAAACATCTAAATCAGTGAAACCAAACTGACCAAGTGGTCAGTTACATTAAGCCTGATCTTCAGCATAATCAAAGGCAAAGACAAACCCCTGCCCCAAAACTAATTGTTAAGAACTCTTATCAAGTTTATGCCCAGTTCATCTAGAACTGTTTCCAGGGTACCAGCATTTCATTAACATACCATGCTAATTTAGAGCCTCAGTCCTGCAATAAAATGCACGCAAAAAGGAGCTCCTTGAACTCCTACAGAACTTAATGAATGCCAACAGGATTTTGCATGGGCACAAGAAAAAACTAAAACTATTTTGACTGCAGGTTTCAAAATGAACGTAACATCAGCTGACAGTATTCTCATACACTTTCCTTCCACTCTTTCTGTATCTAATATCACAATTTTTCCTCCTACAAGACGAAGTGAATCTCCATAAACTCAAAATCAGTTAGAAACCAAGATTTCTTCATTATTATCTGGTCTATGCTTACAATATATGCAAGGAAGCTGGGTCTACTTTACATAAATTTAAATATCTAATAGTAAGAACATTTAATACTTAATGCTCAATTTAGTAATTCTCTGATTTTCACCATGAAACTTCTTAAAAAGATTATAAAAAAGGTAGCCTGGACAGAGGTTTTCTACACTTTCATGACCTGGCAAGGAACATGTCCTGTGTGTTTTGTTAGCACAAGCAGCATTTAAACATAAAAAGCATCCAGTAAAACAAGTCTCAAATGGTAAGAGACATTGCACTAACAATACAGAAATAAAACAGTGGATATTCCTGTTCTTATGTGCCACCATTTTAATAAAAGGTAAACATGAAAACAAATATACATATTTAGCAACATCTGTACATCATGTACCTTCAGATGAAAAGCCTACTCATTAATTGCTGCCATGCTTATCAGAACTATCCTTGAAAAAGAAAATGAAATCTACTGTCTAAGGGTTTGGGTTTTTTTTTTGGTTTGTTTTTTAAACAAACCTCCTGAAAGGCAGTTTAACTAACAGCATACAGTAAATAAAATACTTTTCAATGGTTTTTCAGAAAGAGGACTCACTGATTCTTTCTGCTTACATCAACATTTAAAACTACCTTCATTAGTGTTTCAGAGGAAACAGATTTTAAAAAAATAGTAATTTTAAAAAATCTATCCACCATCATTATTATTCTCTAAAAAAAAAACATGAGCTGCAAAGTCTAACAATGCAATCAGATCTGCACTTCCTTAACCTCTGCAGTGGAAATGAAAAAGACCTAATGACAATGCTTGTTACCCTCCCAATGCCAATTCAAACAAGCCAGCCTTCGCTTCCCACCAAAACAATCTACCAAGTCTCAGGCAGTTACTTCCTGCTTCTCCGCTACAAAAGGGATAATTTAACAACATCCACTTCTGGCCAGTAACATCTTAACCCACTTCAACCACAGCTGCAGGAGCATACCTGTGTATGGCAATGCTCATAAATACATGAACACAAAAACGCTGAGCACCTAATCCTAGAACAGAATCACAGAATAGTTTGAGCTCGAATAGGCATTTAAAGGTCATCTAGTCCAACCCCTGCAGCAGTGAGCAAGGACATCTTTACATACACCAGGTTGCTCACAGGCCCATCCAACCTGATCTTGAACGCTTACAGGGATTGGGCATCTACCACCTCTCTGGGTGTCTTATTTCAGTGTTTCACCGTCCTCATTAAATTAAAAATTTCTTTCGTCTATCTAGTCTAAGCCTACCCGCTTTTAGTTTAAAAACATCGCCCCTACTCCTATCACAACAGGCCTTGCTAAAAAGTTTGTCCTCATACTTCTGCAACATGATCTATTCTTGCAGGTTTTTTTCCCCTCAGTTCTTCAATTTTTTTATCCCTATTTTTAAAATACAGGTGGCATCTGACACTGCACCAAGCAAACCATGATGGAGTTCTGCTAACTAGGCCACAATTTGGCATCCGCTGTTAAAAGTTCAGCAAGGCATGAAGCAAAACAAAGATTCTGAACCTGGAATACAATCAAGGTGGTACCTGACATCTCTTTTAACACTGCTCACCATCAACCACTCTGCATGAGTACTTCAGGAACAACTGTTTTGTTCTTCAGTAAGCTCTACCATACAACTGTGCTTTTCATAAATGCATATTAAAACCCCATTACCAATGAATCTGCAAAATCTGTCACAGGAGTTAACCTACATCAAGAATAAGACTTGTAAAGCTGATCACAGAAAGGCATATTAAACATATTTTAGTACATGAGCCACTTTCTGCGAAACACTTTTTTTTTTAGAACCTAAGGATTTATATTTAACCTGTATGAGTTATGAAAGCAGCATGCTAATTTTTCTTCTGTTGGCTGCTCAAAATTGTGAATTATTTTCCACTTTATTAGCACCTTTTGCCTAATGTTCTAAATAGCAGTGTTAGATACAAAATGATTAAGTAGTCTGCTCTTCTAACACGCCTGTCTTCTAGATATCCAACAGTTTAGCACCCCACCTCCCAGCCTGCAGTTCACGCTGGCAGAGCAGTTCAGACAAACTACTTTCTGCCCAGTTTTACTCAAAATGAGAGACTGACAAAGATCTTCTATTTAAACTGAAATATAATTCATTTTAATGGAAGTGGGCCAGGAACTAGCAAGCCTAGCTGGCAGATTTGAGGTGAAGCACTGAGGAATTTGGGGCAAGGTAAAAATTCTTATCCCCAAAGTAAGTAACAATTTTACAAATTTAAACTACAGAAAAACAAACTTATGTGCTGAAAACTTAAGTGTGCTATTTTTACTGCTGTGGATATCTGGCCTTACCCTCCTTAACAGGCCTCAGAATTCAGTATATAATGTAACTGCAGGTTCTCATCAAGAGTTTTAATCAAATCCTATCAGAACAGAGTGGTCTGCAGTCCTAAGTCTGTACTGACAGAACTCATGCCAATGTAGCTGTGCTACAAGGAAACAGAAAAGAGGCAACTACCACCTGCAAGAAAGGCAAAGGTATTTTCTACCTGTTAAACTTGCAAAAATGAGCTTGATGACAAGTAACACAGCATATTGCTTTATTTTCTTACTGTTAACATCAAGTTAACCTAGCTGACTATAAAGCACACAAATCCACTCTATGACACTATCTTGCACATCTGCTGAGCTTATGGCATATACACTGAGACTTTCTTTGATACTTAGGTTCTTAGATTACAAACATCCAGTGAGGACATCACTCTTCTGAATAGAGGACGTTTTCCTTTCAAGAATATAAATCCACAGATCTATAAAATATCAGTAACTTATTTATTATCTGCACTAGCTACACTTTTCTCTGTTTTCCGATCTGGATTTTTTTAATGCCTGAAACCACATGATTTCAGAACAAAAGATGCCCATATATGCCAAATTACAATGGTTAACTTAAGCAGTTCCACCAGACCAGAAAAAAAGACGTGGATTTTAATTATCATCCTTTCTTCAAGTCATAAAACAAAACAGCCTCCCTCAAATGATTTTTTTTATTATCTCAAATCAATTATGGAAATGTAAACCTTGAAACTTTGAAATTTTGTTTTCAGTGGAAGAACTGTGTTTAAATAGATATAAGAACTGCAGTCAGGAGATCCCAGAATGTAAACTCAACAACAATTAACACTGATTCATTGCATGATCCTGAACAATGTAATTCAATGTCATAGAGTTTCTGACCTCTCAGAGTTTTATGTAGAAAGAACTTAAAGAGTGCATGGCACTTTGCATCTCATTGAGCTATGCTGGCTGCAGAAGCACTATAATCTGCATGTCACCAATGGCATATGCAGCTGGTTACAGCTATATAAAGTACAGAGTACATTTATGCTCTCACTCTGTGCTAGGCAAATTTTTTTCACAAAACTTTGCATCTTACCCATCATCACCTTGCATTTTACATTATAGTCCATTAGCCGTATTTTGCAACAACGTCTAATCTCAAATGACATGAAGTCCTTCTGGAAAACAGATTTGGATTTTTAATGCCCGAGACCACAGTTGCTCAGAACTGAACGAGGAAATCCAGCTTACTTCACACCAAGTGCTTGTCCCTGGTGTTCTCTAGAGCCACCTACTGGAAATACTCCAGTACTTGAATCTTGACTGCAGGCCTAAAGTAATGACACTACAATATGGTTTTCCGTGACTCCCCAAAATGATAGAAGGCATACCATTTGCATATATAATGCTACTAATTTACATACAAAAAAAAGAAACACAGAAAAATCTTCCCATTAGACTTTCTATTTTGAAAGATTAAATAACATACATTTAGGTTGCACACAGAAAAAAAAGGTACTTATGAACACTAGAGTAACAAGGTGAAAATGCATTTTTTCAGATTCATGTGCAATTCATTTTTCTTGTTTTTTTTTTTTAAAAAAAAAAAAAAAAGTGAGATGCTGGTAAGAAGCCATACTGCTTTCACAAATTGAAAGCAAAAGGTTTTCCCACCTCAACGTTAGGATACATTCCATGAAATAGCAACAGAAATAGACCATTAAGTCTGAAAGCATTCTGGAGTAAACCAACCTAGTATCAACTGACCTGGAATATCAACTGACCTAAAATTAACACTACTACATAGCAGATCAGTTTGGCCTTCTTTGAGAACCTAAGTACTGACAGAAAGTAACATCTCATTATGCACTCGTGCTTGTTGTGACAGACATCAAATTATATCTCTTTACACACACAAGACTGGCAGCAACCCATTAATAATTCTGACATCATGTCTCGTTCAAAAAAAGTAAAAATTAGTTTCCACGGCCTTGACAAACACTCCGTGTTTTAAGTGTTTAATCACAACTGGAAATAATGCTAACTTTCCATTTTTCCTTATTTCAAGGAAGGTGTCTTTTTTTTAAAAAAAAAGATTTTTAATTAAAGGGCAAAGGAAATAAACAGTAATGAAAAAACAGACTGATGAAATGATGCATATGAATGACTAAGTGAAGAAAGATATTTACAAACAGAAGAGTGCTGTGGTATCTATTAATGTAAAAAAAAAAAAAAGTAGACTTAAATAAAACAGACTAACTACCTCAAGTAAATACATCCCTCTGTAAGGAATTGTTTTTAAAAATAATATTTATGTGGTGTAAAAGATCAGGGCAGATGATTAGCTCAACATTAAAACACTTTTTAAACCAAATTAAGATTGCTTCTGTACTTTTAAACAAAAGGTTGCATGTAAACAATTGTTTGTTCAATTTAGCATGTGTAAACTGGGAAAACACTAACATCTTACCTCTGCAACTTCCTTCTGAAAAGTCAATGTCATCTGCGTCCTGCCATAAACAAAAGGTCCATCCTTTTTGGAAACATTTTCAAGCCATTTGATGATTAGAGGAGTTGAAACACTGAAGGGCAGGTTCCCAATGATATGTATATCTGGTGGCTCTGTTAACATATGAGGGAAGAAAAACAACTGTCAAAAAGTTTTGGATAAGATTCTCGAAAGAAAGAACACGTAAGTAGGGAAGATATGTGCTATCAACGTAGACTTAAAATATGAAAACAATTTTTATCATGCCACGCCAAAATTATGCATTGCAATTTATACTTGTCTTACACTGACAAAACTGTGCTACTGTTCTCAGTAATTAGCTGGAAAAAACTGCTTAGCTTTGGTTCTCATTTACATTTGAATAAATCAGTAGCTTTCAGCTGATAAGTAGATTGCAGCTGAGCTACACCAGAATAGCAAAACTGTAACAACAGAAAAACTACCAAAGTGGTTCTATGATTTTAAACTACAACAATTAGGTACAGAGTGAATAGCCACACTCATCCTTTTGTGTAACAAGTTCCTCCCAGGGGCATTTCAATGAGTCTTCATAACCCTTCAAACAATCACCTAGCTCAGACTGGAAGAGCCCCCTTCTGTAGAGGCCTCTGAAATCAAAAGGTCTCAGAGCAAGTATAAGACTTAGCCAGAGGAAGCAATATGTATGGTTTAATTATGGAACATGCCAGTATATATGAGTGTTGTACAACACAAAGCAGGTATTTCTTTAGCAGGCATCCTTATGTCTAAACACGAGTGCAAGAGAAGTGGACTAAACAAACGCATGTGTATTGTCTTAGATATCACAGCACTTAATAATATGAGTAAGATATATCAAATTCAAGCTGGTTTTCTGGTATGCTTATTATGCACTTTTGGCTGTCATATTTCTAGCATATTTGTGGTACTACACACATACATCAGAGATGGCCAAGTATCACTCCAAAACTCAGAGGCCTTTCAGATTTTCATATGACAATAATACAGAAAATGCACATCTTGCCTCTAATTAGCTCCAAAGGCAATGACTTATATCTATGTTCCAAAAAGGTAAACATTAAAAAATTGCACTACGCTTGCGTGCATGCATTTTTGCATAGTTTTGTTTTGTGAAGCACTTTACCTTTTCCAACAAGGCAAATACAGTATGGAATTTTTCAAGGTGGACATAATGTGGCATAGTCTTTTATGTCCTAAGTCAGAAAGCAGTTTACTACTCTTCAGGCACTGCAGACAATGACTCTACCTTAAGATAGGAAACTTGGAAAAGGGGACTAGGAGGTGATCTCTGATTTATCAAATAATATGACATTTTAAAAAAGAGGATGTTTCTCAAGTCCTGTGAGAACATCAGATTTGAAAAAACCAAACCCCAGATTTCTGAGTAGATTCTACTTTTGCCAAAGATCTCCAGCTGAAACCAAAACAATGAGAACACTAAATTTTTGAGGACAAATTTCCTAAAAGTTTCAAGGCAAATTACAGAAATTCCTTCAGTGGAAGGATAGCAGTGCTGGCCTCTGGCTTCCTCAAAAAGAGGAAGAAACTAGGAAAAAAGTATACCATTTGATTTGCTTTTATACTTTCCGAGAGTCATTATTGTACAGTCAAGACACTCTAAGGTTAATAATTGCAAAGCGTCTCCATGTTGACGCTACTGTTTTGTCTGGGGAGAAGTTGATTCTCCTTTGTCTTCTAGAAAGGAAGAAAGTGAGCTTGTCTCTCTCACCTTCAAAATGTACCACAGGAGAGTAACACCTCCACTGACTTAACTCCAACTATATCACCACACTTAAGACTATCTCAGAAGCCTTAAAAATTAAGTAAGCCAATTATAAATACTAACCATCCTCCCAGTTCTTTTTTAAGTGCTTTGGAAAAGCCCTCTCCATCTTGTATGTCAGGATATCTCCATGAACAATGTGCACTTTTCCTGGAGCTGCTTCAGACAACATCTGTTTGGAAGCAAGCAAGCAGAACTCACAGTGAGTATTAACCAAACTGATTTCCAGTCACAGCCACAGCAGGAGTGAAACCATTGTTATGTATTTATCTTCAATATACAGCAGTTAAAACTGAGCACACTATTAGTGAGTATTTAGTTTCAAAAAGAAAACACTACTGAATAAAGTTTCATGTGTGGTTCTGTAAGGGCTTATTGTTCACAAGCTGAAACTTGACAAGACTGCAAAGAGTCTCCTCAACAAGGACAATTCACAAACCCTGGCCACTAACTGGATTTCACCTGATTTAAGTAATAATAATGCAAGCAGTAGGTTTTCAAAAGTTTTTAGACCCATCACCTATGGAAACAAGGCTTGTGCTGTTTATTCTGTTTCTCCTGCAGCTGCAGGGTCTTTTGCAGGGTTTTAGCTATATGTGACACAAGGCTGCAGAAATAGCAATTTTTTCCTTTTACATAAAAAAAGGGCGAAAAGATTCTCTTATTACTCCTTGTAGTAGGTCTGAACTCTCACCATTAAAGACAAAGTAGTACCCAAAAATGAAGGAATGAGCACCTAACAGTAGAAAAAAATCTCAAAAACTTGTATCTTTTTAGACATTAAAAAATCCACTCTGTTGTCAACTTCTGTATCCCACTTCTGCAGATTAGCTAGTATTTAATAAAAGTTAAAAGCAAACTCAGAAAGGGCAGTGGCTTGATGACCAACCCTTTCATTTCTGGTGTCAGTTTACGCAATCGAAATGAGTGAATTTTTTTTAAATGTTGCACTAAACTTTTCTCTTACAGGATGAAACTGTGCACAAAAAGCTCAATTCAGAAGCAAAGCCAAGTTTTATAAAGATGACATTTGGAGATATTTATTGTTCCTAAGTCAGAATAGTGTAAAATGGCTTAAAGAACAATTTTGCTTTTGCACACAGATCCAAATCCATAAAAAGTTAAGTGCTGGTGGCTTAACTGCTATAATAAACTGCTCACCATTGTTAGCTCCATCTTCAGTCTGAATCATGGTTATGTGCTTAGGGGCACAAACAGCTTTCACAGGTCTCTGAGCCAAAGGAAAGTGCTGCTTTCTCATACTGCTCACAAAATGTTTGCATGAAATTTTTTGAGCAAAAGGTTTTTTTATCATCCAAACAACTACATTATGTGTAAAGTACTAAAAAAAAAAAATCTTAACTAAAAGACTAGATCTTAGGAAGAAGTTCTTCAGTACAAGAGTGGTGAGACTCTGGAACAGATTGCCCAGAGAGGTGGTGGATGCCCTCTCCTGGGAGGTGTCCAAGGCCAGGCTGGATAAGGCCTTGAGCAACCTAGGCTAGCTGAGAGGCGTCCTGGCCCATGGCAGGGAGGTTGGATTGGATGATTTCCAGGGTCCCTTCCAACATAAGCCATTCTATGATTCTGTGACAAAACCTAACTGTTTCTACATGTTTTCAGTTCAATTATGTCCAAATAGGAAAAATAAATCTAACCTCAAGTGCAAGCCACCCAGTGGATTTTTCAGCATTATACTGGCAATTAGATGGCACAAAAATTTACTAATCTGCCATGTTTTGTCAAATCTTTCTTTGACGCTGCTATGAATACTGCAACCAGATGAAAGATAATGTAAGATCAATACAGTTAGAAAATAGCATGAGAGGAATGTTTGGTTTTTAATAGTAGTTTTAATGTCAAGAGGAGGTTGGGTTTTTTTGATTATCACACTTGACAAAAAATGAAAACTGCACTTAATTTGTGGGCCAAAAGTCACAGTTGTGTATTTTCAGTTTGAAATAAAGACTCAGAAACCCACCGAAACTTTCTCCGTTTTAAGGCCAACATGTGCAGCTAACACAGTTCAAGGAGCTCTTGTGCACCAAGCACACAAGCCAAGTGATTCTCCATCATACAGATCCTCTCGTTTCTCACACACAACCTAAAGGGCATAATTTAAAAAATGAAATGGCATTCCTTGAAGAATTCTATGTTCTATACACTCTCTGGCTGAGAGCACCCTTTCTCTCCCCATAAATCTTTCCAGCCTAACAACTATTTAGGGCATATGGCACAGGGAGGTTGTGATTCTTTAAGAGCCAGACAGAACTGACAGACTCTCAGCTTGTGTAAACATTTGCTCTGTATACATATGTTTCTCACTATATTTCAGTTCTGCAGTAAAGATCTCAACCTGTTTTGTGATAGAGACCACAGCCTGAAAAAGTTAATGGAAAATGCTGCATGTTTTACTTCAGCAATTTTCTAAGTACCTAAATAGACATTCTTAAGTAATAGGCCCCAATTGTTATTTTAATCTCTGACATTTTCTACTATACAAATCTCACCCTTTTTATTATCATTTTGTTTGATAGAGCTTTTAATGGGAAACCAGAAAAAAAAAAACCATAGGTATTACAACCCACATTATCACAAAAGAAAGATTCAGTTATGTATTATCTTATTTGAAGGAAAAAAGTAATATCAAATTTAACACTAATAGATGCAACATATGTCTTATTCATTCACATCCACTGAGTTATAGCATCTTTATATCCAATAATCTAATTCAGACATTTATTTCTACTGAGAAGATTGCTAATTAAAAATAATGACTAATGTTAATTCACTTGAATAGTAGAGATAATTACCTACCAAAAGCTCATTATACACCCTGAACAGTATACTTGTATTCACAGAAATCTGTTGCAGTGGTTGCATTTTGGAAAATCAGAAAAATTGTCCAAGTCCTTAAAAAAAACTCTGTTAACTAAAGCAAGTATCATTTAATCTCAAATTATCTCCAATCTCAAGCCAGTTCTTAAAATCTAAAATAAAAATACAGATTTTCCCCCACTCAAGGGAAGTGAAAACACAAAGTTTTCATACTTTATAAGGTGAAGATGATGTACAGTAAATTACCAACGGCTAGGCCTACAAAGACACAGCTACATGCATATTTAGGTTTAAGGATACCAGTGGTTTCACTCATATCTTAAATTTGTTTTGTCCTACAAAGATGGCAGCAGTTCTCAAGTGAACTTCCTGTTTATTTCCCCCACTGATTTACTACAAGTCACACAGTGCAATATAAGGAAAGACCTCTGAATTGTTATAATCTGAGCTTGTAGAGGCACAAGAAACCAGTAAGATCTGGAAATTCTGGATTCTCTTTTTCTTGCTAGGTTTATACAGCCAAATTCCATAAACATGGAAACTTAATAGCAACGCAAGTAGATGGCATTTGAAAAATGCCACAATGACTTGTGAACTTACACCAACTTTAGAAGAAAGCAACAAGAGTATTTTTTTTAAAATGTACAATAAATTGTCTTTTATTCCTCTGTATCTGGATGTTAATCTATGCTGAACTATATTAACTGAAGATACGATTTCAAAATTTACTAAGCTTTAAAGCATAACTATTAGGATTAAAATGAAAAATAAGGCACTACGTTTAGCCTTCAAATTACTATTTCACCTGCATGGTGAAATACAACCAAAGCATCTCAACCTGAAAAAAAAAACAGACAGGCTTCAGCATTAATTCAGTTGTAAAATCAGGTCCTAAAGGAAAACAGGAGCAATTAATTGCTTTACTGATAGCTGTAATTAAAACCAAAGAAGCAAACTTATTTTCAATGCTGAGATCTCAACAAGACACTTGGAACCCTTCTATGTTCTTAAAATGTTATTCAGTGTTGTGCATGCATGTATACAAATTATTCACCAGTAGATACCTGCAATCCTGGAATAAATCGAGTATCTTTTTCAATTAAAAGGAGCTGTTCAACACCAGCACTGAGAATGGATCTGGTAATTCCTCCTGGCCCAGGGCCCACTTCGCAAACATGGGCATTTTTCAGCTCCCCAGCTTGTTTCACTATCTTGTCTGCAAGACACAAAGAACATTCTCAGCCTTCATTCTCCAGAACATTCCGCTCACTAAGATAAACTCATTGTTTATTGTTAAATCACAAGTGTGCTTATCTCAGAACAGACACAAACAGTGACACATCCCAGTTAAATGATCACACACCTGCTAGGCAGCACAGATTTCAGATTTGTTTCATACTACAAGCTACATTCAGCTATTTAAAAAATTTCTCTCTAATACACATTGTTACTCATTACAGAATCAGATAAGAAGAGAGTATTACTTCTCATCTGTAAACTAGCAGTGCTCTTCCTCTGCAAATAAGCACTTGTGTTCAACACCCTAAAGTCTCACTGCTTACCCTTATAAAGGTATTTCACTACAGCACCTCTGCTTCAATGAAATTTAGGAAGTAAAAGAGGCACAGTGAGGCTCTACTGAGATTACAATATGGACAGAGCAATTTTATGACGGGGGAGCTGAGTAAGGTATGAGCTGGAATACAGGCAACTGGTAGCTACAGGAGGCAGGGCAGCTGGAAGCTGAGGAAAGAATACCTGTACGTAAATGGAAGGGTGCAACACTGAAAGGTGTTATAGCCATGGATTAACAATTAAAATAAGGATAAAAAAAGTAGTTAATGAAGCAAAGAAGCATAGAGGGAATATGCTGAGAGAAATTATGCTGCTTCTTAAGTATGCAATATAAATAAGAAATATCTGAAGGTCTGTCTACTTGTAAAGCTTTACATGCAAACATTTTTATTCCAGGATTAGTCCAGTTGTTCAGAAAGTTGAAGGGAATTTCATGTTAATTTCCTAAATCTTTACCAACCTGAATCTTCAAATGCAATCAAAACAACAGCTATGTGAAGCTGCACTGCACTTATTACTGCAAAACCCAGCCACCACCAATGAAGAAACCCACCACTGACTGAGCAGTGCCAGCTCTGTCACCCATTCCTGACATGAGGCTGAAGAAAGCTGAATTGTTTAGAATAATACAACTGGTTCAAAAAAGCTACATTTCCAATAAACTGAAGCAAATAACAGTCCAGTCATACAATATATATTAAGTTAAACTGAACAATGAATCACAGTACTTTCTATGATACACAATAATCTGAAAAAAAAAAAAATACTCATTTTTTTGAATCAAACTACGATAGTACTTGAACAGTAGAAGTGCTACTAAGGCTTGCATTTTTGCATTTCAATCAGTAACCCCTATCTTATATAGGAATATACTTCCTACCTAAAAATTAGTTTATAAAGAACTGCATTTTGTAGGAATTTGTAGTAAAATCCGTTTGTCCAAGACAAACTACTTGCAAAATAAGTCTTTAAAGGTTTACCTTTGAGCTGCCATTAGTTTGACAGATATCATCATGTACACACCACCTCCTTAGCTAGAATCTGGATTTGGAAGAAAGCCAGGACACACATGCTATAGTAGGTAAAAATATTAGAATAAAATATTTAACCTGTCAATCGCAAATCCAGTAGAAAGTTCTGGGAAAGTTGTTTCTGTGCTTTAAGGCGAAAGAGTTTAATAATCTCTCCAACAGTTGGCAGGGGAGGCAGGTGGAAAGCTGCCACCTTTCCTGGAGCAGCCATAAGACAAAACTCTTGTTCCTTCCTCCTAAGGATTGACATTGAAAAGATGATTCTAGTATATGCAATAAATTACAATATACTTAACATTAACAATACTACTAAGCAAACAAACCAAGACATGACTTATGAATCAATACACAAGCACTAGATTTTAAACTTCAGTATTTTGATTACTGTCTACAGTGCCTGTGCTTAAAATTTATTTGTGGGATTCGGGCAAGTCTCATTTTCTAGCTGCGCCAAAACATCCGGTAAAACAAAACTCTCTCAAAATTGCCCAATGTCAATCTTTCATTATTTTAGCAGGAAATCATTCAGGATAATATAAAGAATGGGTATTTTTAACGGGACCGTCCCTCAAGAACTGCCCTGGTCCCCAGCAGCAGCGCAGGGGGTTGCCCGGGCCCCGCCCCACACCCCAACCCGGGCGGC